CATCTTTAATACAAGGTCATTAATAGTATCTGAAACAGTTTCAGTAACTTGATGATTAAATGGAAGATAATATTGTGGATCATACATTGCATCTGGACTAGGGAAGGCTTTCAAGAGATCATTTGTATTAAAAGTATCAACCATGTCTCCCATAACTAACATTTGACATGGAGTTAATACACCACATCCAATAGAACCAAAAATACCAATAGCAAGAAGAATTAAATCAAGCCAATTAGCATATCTATATAATTGTCTAACAGTAACACTTCCTGAATCATCTGGTTTTTTATTCTTTCTTGCTAATTCATCTGGGTCAGGTGTAACATCAAATACAGAGAAAGCGTCAGCAACAGCGTTTGTTGTTACATTCATCTTAATTAATTTTGAATATAATTGAATTTTAGAGTGCGTTTAAAAAGCAATCAAGGGTGTGAAACAACTACCAAATTTAATCCAACATGATTGAATAAAAGGAGAATCAGAGCGACTCTTTAGTTAAAAATTTTAATTAAAAACTCAATTAAGTTAATTCCAAGCTATTTCATTTAAAAATAAATGGTGTCAGTTAAACTTTTTTACTATTTTTAATAATAGAATAAGGTTGATAAATACTTCAACTGAATTATTTACTTTTTTAGGAAATTCTTTTAAGTGAATTTACTTCATTCAAATCTACTTCAATTTTTTTTTATGAAAATGACAAATCTTTTCACTCAAAATTTTATTTTTAATTTTATTATAAAATATTCATTTTTATTATTCTTTTAGAATATAATAACCAAATAACCTTTTCTTTTTATTATATTAAATAATGCTATTAATAACACAATTTTTTTTGTGATTCAATTTTTAAAGTTCTTTAACTCAAGACAGTTAATGGATAATTAAACAAATAGTAAAACACAATTCATATTTCTTTAAAAATATCAACAAAGACGGAGATGATGAATTTTTTGGTTTTTATATTACAGATAATATTTAATGTTTATTCATTACAAAATAAAATTCTATAAAATAAAAGAAAACAAGTTGAAAATCAAAATTATTTTTAAATCATCTAGAAATTTATTAATTTTACAATTATCACAGTTATTGAGTTAATTTAATTATTTTCAAATAATTTAAAATAAGCAAAAGTCTAACTTTGTAGAGGATGATAAAAGCATAAACTCTTTTTTTCAAAAAGAATTCATACATTTTGTGATTAGTCATAAGTTAGTCTTCTTCATTTTAACATTGTTTTATTATCATCTTTTAAACAAAACTTCAAGTAGATAATTTAAATTAATCAAATCCATCTAAAAGGAAATTAGCAGCAAGTTGTTCATTTTTGTCACAGGCAATATAAGCTTGAAGACATTGTGATCTACCAAATCCTAAACCACATAGTCTATCAATAGCAGCATTATCTTCTGGTGATAATTGTGGTTGAGCAGGAGCATGATTTGGTTGTGGTTGAGTAGGTTGTGGTCCAGAAGGAACTCTATTATCATTTGTTTGACTTTTAATAATGTCATAGATCATACCTGGATTATTTCTTATAAGTTGAGCGGCTGATGGATTTTCTGATTCTACATGTTGAATGAATGATTCAATAATTTGGGGTTGTTCTCTACACAATTCAATAAATTGATCTTTTGTTAAGTTAAGAATAGATCCTGGCTCTTGAGGATATTCTTCATACCCACCTGCTGGTTGATCAGGAATATTATCTAAATCAACACCACTAATAAGAAAATCAGCAGCAATTGCAGTATTATTTTGTGACTTTCTTAAAGCTTTAATAGCATTGTCTCTTAAAAATCCCATTTCAACTAAATGATTAATATTTTCTTCAGTTGGTTCAACATTAACTGTTTGACGTTGTTGTGATTGGAAAATATCAACTGGTTGTATTGAAGGTTGATTTGTTGTAATAGGTTGAGTAGTAGTAGTAGTAGGTTGTTGAATTGGTTCAGTTGAGTGGGTTTCTGGTTGGGCTACAGGAGCAGGTTTAGGAGGAGGAACAGCGCTCTGAATAAATTAATTAAATATTTAAAAAGAATAACAATAATTAAATAAAACATAAACTATAAAATAGTTTTTATAATAAAATAAATACAAACCTTCTTAACTACCATAACAATTGAATCACCTTCATTAATACCTAAACCACCAAGATTTTGAGCATTATCTTTAAGCATACGAGACTTATAAATAAGAGAAATGTTTTGAATATCAATTCCTTGTTTAGCATTAATCATTTCCTTAAGTTCACCAACTGTTGTTGTTTCTGGTTCAATTTCATATTCATTTAATATTCCTTGAATAGTCTTTACAATAATTTTCATTTTCTATTTGTCTTGTATTTGGATTATTTAGTTTTAAGTTCTTTTTAAATAGAACTTATTTGAGGTTTTAACTATTGTTACTTTTTTCTTTATTTTTTTTTAAACTTCAACGATTTTTTCTTTGTTTTTATTTTGAGTTCTAACTAAATAAATATAATATTTTTTTATTAATTTTCATTAATATTTCAAAATTATTAGTTCTTTTCTAGGATATACTTTTTAATTATTTAATATTTTATAATTTTTTTTGCAGAATTAACAATATTATTATTGATTTATAAAAAGTTAGATAGAATTAATTATTTTTTAACATCATTTTTCATACTTCTTTTACTATAATCTTTTAGTTTTTATAAATCATTTCATTTCTTTTTGTTTTAATAATAATTTTATTTTTTAAATAATACAATTAATAACTGAAGGTTTTTATAAATATTTTATATTAAATACTTGAGCTTAAATTAAATGAAATGAAGATACTGTGTCTTTTTAATTAAATTTGATTCATTAAAATACAAAAGAAAGAATGAAAATCATAAGAAGGAAGTTAAAACATGAAATTTCTCATTAATATAATCTTATTTTAAATTTAAGAGGAAGAATATTCAAATCTTAAAGTTAATAATATTTGTACTATAATTATATAGTTTGAACAATTTTATAAGTTAAAAATGAAGATTCGTCGTTATTTAAAGTGAATAAAATGATTCTATTTTATAGGTTCTAACACTCTATTATAAAAGAAGTTGGAGATTATAAATCATTCTTAAAAACTACTCTAAATTCATTTTTATATTAAGATGAACAACAAACTCTTTCTTTTTGGATTGTTTTATATAGGGTGTTATTGTACTACATTAAAAGAAACAATAATTACCAAACATCAATTAGTTCCATTGTCTGAATGTACTAAAGCTAGAGTTACTCATTATGACATTGAAACATGGAATTCAGGTACTGCTTGTTCATTTGGAGAACAACCAACACAAGTCATTCCTGGATATATGTTTGGAGGTTCATTAAATGAAGCATTTTTTGATCACAGTAATAAATGTGGTATTTGTTATGAAGTTGTTGGTCCTAAAGGAACAGTTAGGTTTAGAGCAGATAACAAATGTGCTGTTCAAGGAAATGAAAAATATTGTAGTGGTGATATGCATCACTTTGACTTAGTTGAAAATACTTTTTCATATGTTACAGATGAAGAAGGAATATCTAATGTAACTTTTAGAATGGTTGCATGTGACTATACAGGAAATTTAAAATTAAAAACATACTCTAGTTCAAATAATTACTTTCTGGAATTTGTTGTTCATGAACATACACTTGGTATAACTAAGCTATTATTAAAAGATAATGAAATGAAAGAATTTGTCGATATTCCAAGGTCAGAATATAATACATGGAGATATGGGAATATTGGAAGAGCTTTTAATTTCCCAGTTACTGTTCGAGTTTATTCTATAGCTGGTACTTACGTTACTGTAAGTGTTACTGATGGCAATGAAGGACATACTTTTGAGGCAGATGGTAATTTCAAAATTCCAAATAATAAATATTTTGATATTGATACACTTGAAATGATAGACATTCCAAATGGCACTACAGAGTGTTGTTCATTAATGGAAGATGATTACTCTACTCTTTACAAAGAGGGGGATGTTCAAGGAACTTACAGAAATTTACCTGTAAACGCTGATATAACTTTAAATGATAAGGAAAATCCTAAGAATGGAGAATATTGTTTGAGGGCGGATATGAATGGTTGGGGATTAATCCAATTAAATGCTTATCACCCAGCACAAGCAAACCAATACACTCATCTTCATTTCTTTTTAAAATCAAAGGATGAATGTTCAAATTGTTTTAATGTTCAAGCACAACAATTGAATAGCGATGGGATTACTGTCTCAACAAAAGGAGCAGGGGAATGGACAGAATTCAAAATTCTTTTAACAGATTTAGGCATTACCAACAATGAATTTTGGGGATTTAGAGGACAAAATATGAATGGTGATAAAAAAACTTTTTGGCTCGATGATGTTGAGCTCATTAAAGATCCAAATGCTCCAGATGCTGGCAAATGTTATAATACTGATGTAACTTATTTACCAGATACATATACTGTTGATGATAATTCTAATGGTTCAATTCCTTCATCAAAAAGTGAAGAAACATCAGACAACAGCTTAGAAAATGAAGGCAATTATTCTTATTTGCTTAAATGGTTATTAAGTATTATAATAATACTTATTATTTAGTTGAATATTTAGAACATTTAATTTCTTTATTAAAAATATTATATTTATTCTTAATATTTATTATCATTTTCTTCTTATAAACC